TAACTTGCTTGATATAGCTGTGTCTTGGTCTATACCTGTCAATAATTGTAATGTGCGTAACGTCACTGAAGCTTAATTATTTACCGTGGTAAACTTATTACAAAGACTTTTTTCATTCTGCGTTATTCTTACTTTGCAGTTTTCAGAGATATAATATTTTAATCCTCCTTCATCATCACGTATTGGCTACGTATTGGTGGGGCACTACAGGCATAGCATAATAGTGTTTTGTATGTATATTATTTATGTCTATATTTATAATAATAATGCCGTATTTCTATCAGTACTTTAATACATTAAGTTCTGCTTCATTTTAGAACTCTGACCATCACTGAGATAGACTCTGTGTTCGCATACCATTATGTAAGCGATAAGTTTACCATTTCAGTTTTATAAATAAAATAGATAAAACAAAAAATACAAAGACATGCATTATAATCTAAAATTGAAGTAGCCTAAGTTACTCCTTATTACATCAGATATCTACCGAAAAAACTCCTGGCAAAATAGGTCCAGCCATTTCAGAGTTTAGCCGGAATAAACAAACAGACAGATAGACAAAAATTGTAAAATATTATTTTGTTGTATGTACCATATTTATATGCATGTAGTAAAAAACTATTATTTCAATATTACAAACAGACACTCTAATTTTATTTATATGTATAGATAATATGTAAATTATTGTATAATGTGTTACAGTAGCCTTTTATATAGTTTAATCTGCTAACAGCCCTGGTTGCTGTAGTTAGATAACAAATCTAGAAGGATAAACATTGCGTGGCAAGCCGCATATGTCTCGGGCTTAACTACTGTTTATATTTATCTTAAGGAAAATGAAGACCTGTATTCTATTTCTGTATACGAAACAACATTTGAGGATATTTAGCCGGGGTAGACAATAAAGGTCAGTATAATACGTTAAATATTCAATTGTGTTATTTAGCTTTCTTCTAAGAAGGTCCAACAAAAACGCTAATGAATTGTGGCCTTTTCTGATACTGTTACCCATAATCTTATTTAGAATATCTCATTTACTATATGCCTATTCATAGAGCTTTGAGCAGTTTTCAGACAAAGCCTTTTCTCAACATTTCTATTTTCAAACGAATTTGAATAGAAGGAGGATCTCAATTTGATTGTATTTTATTTCTATATATTCTAAGTAATATTGTCAGTAATTCGTAATTAATTTCGACGATTTAGTTTTTGAACTGAATGTCAAAAATAGGTAATTAATTCTATATTAGTATTAGTATTATATTATTGTATTTTATGAAAAATAAATGAAAACTTGTACAAAACTTCGTGAATTTGTAATTAACAGTTCTTACTTTCATTTTGTGATCATCTATACAAATTTCAGAATTCTTTTTGGATTTATTCGTTTAAAATATCCAAAATTATTGATTTGAATTCATATTTTATTAGTAGAAAGAAATCCCATTCCAAATTTATTAAGACTAATTTATTTTTTATGGCACAAAATTTTAATTATTCATTCTCTCAATCATCCAATCTTTAGAATATTTAAAATTAAATATAATATATAGTTATAAACTATAAATAATATATAGTAACTATATATAACTAAATATAATATATAGTTTTTACTTCCGTGTTGTCCACAAAAGAAAATTATTAATTTTAACTGTTTATTCAACGTCTATTTATAGTGAATTTTATACATTAACTGATTTTAAAATCTTATTATGTATCTTAAAAAATTTACATGTATATCTAAACGTGTAAATGTTTTAGGATCAAATTGTATAAATTTTCTTCTATGTATTTCTAATACATACAAAATGCGATGAAAATGACGTTAATATTTTTGAAAGGATCTTCTGTATGTAAATACATAATAGTAATATTATAGTCCACATAACTACATGTTTTCCTTTCTACATCACAATATTTACATATATACATATATACTATGTAACAAAAGAAACTGTAGTGATTGACAGCAATACGTACCAGAGTTGATAGTGTACCCATTAAAATCAGCTGACATGCCATTAATTAAGTTTGTTTTGTGCTGTTTATTCCAGTAACAGAATCAACGTCAGGCTTAAATTGAGTACTGTGAGAAATTACGTGTGGCTTGTTTTGGATGTGTAACTAACATACAGTAAACTATTTCAATTTATGTTGTAGCATTAATTTCTACTTTGTCATGCTTCCATTTATTATGGAATAATTGCTGATACTTGAGAGAAAATTATTTACTAAGAGCTTTACAGTGGTGGTAATTTTAAGGGTTGTATGTCAAAATTGAAGGAATTAGTTATCTTATCGAGTCTTTTTGTATATAATTACATTGACACGAGCTGACGGCTCATTAGATGGTAAATGGTAACCATCGTATATATTATACATGTCCACCACGGATATGATCATGTGCCGCTCATGCTTTGCAATTCTGCAAGGACTAAAACATCATACTTAATAACTGTATGCTGTAATTTTACTACTATACCTTATCTTTTCAACCCGAAAAGAGCTTACAATGCAAACTGTTTGCAGTCTGAAATTCAGAGGTACTGGCGTATATGAGTTTTTATTATATTTATATCAAATTATGATGATTAGTGCTAAACATCTTTTTAGAAGTAACTTAAGGAAGAGTGTACAGAGTGAACAAGGGCGATTAACACTTGTACTAAAAATCGTTTTTAAAAATAAAAATTGTACTCTTCCATGGTCCATGTCTAACGAGCTTCTATTCCTGTCAGCGTTCATCTTTTAAGAATGAATTCCAACATCCATCAATCATCCGCATATACCTTGTTGTTGATACTTGATGCGTCACATCTGTATATATGTACGATTAGTGGAATGGGTTCAGCTATGGAATTAAAGTGAAAAACTAAAAACGGGGAAAAAGATAAGTAAAGCATAAAAATTGAATATTTCTGTTTGTAAAAAATATATATATGAGAATTTCATAGCTTCTATATTTATATACTCTAGCTTCTTCAGCATACAGTAGTAAAATTAGTCTCTTTACATGTAAGTACATGTAATATACGAGTAACATATAAATTACTGCCAATCTGCTATGTAATATAACTTATATTTAATCAAAATATTTTTTCATAGGTACATATTATTAGAGATAATTATTGTTTTTAAAGATTATTGCACTTTCGTTTCATTTTACAATAATATAGCAAGTTACATTACTCTGTACTGAGGTATAAAAATATAAACAAAAACCCTAAGCATCAGAGGTATTAAGACTTCAAATTTAAAGCTGACTTGCGGTTTATAATTTTCAAACAAGAAACGACGAACCATAGTTCGGACTTTATACCGTCTTATTACTCTAAAACTTCCTAATAACCAGTTATAAATAGACCCATTTATCTATTGACATAAGTCTCGATGTTTACAAGAAGGTTTCTCTATATTACAATCCATAAGTTTCATGTGATACGAAATATATGTATTTGTAATGTATATATATATTTACTTAAATTATTAAGCAATGTATAGTATTCTGCTTGTTTTGTGATCAAGTCAATATTTGATAAATTTAATAAAGGAAATTTCATTCTTATATTATAAAGGAGCAGTTAGAAAATGTCTCTATTATCTAACTGCTCCTTTATAATATAAAAATTAAATTTCCTTTATTAAATCTATCAAATATTGACTTAGTTTGAAAGAAGAGGTCTGTTAGGACGCGGTCGATTGAAAAATTACTTTCATGGCCTCGGCGTTTTTTCCCATGATAACGAAGAGACATAACGTCCTCGTGTAAAGCCCGTAGCATTCTCATGCATTGTCGTTCCGGACGACTAAGACGTAATGCTCAAACTTAAAGAATGTATAGCGGTCTAAATAAATAACTTTTTAAAAGTGCTTATACTTTAATAAGTATAAGCACTATTAAAAAGTTATTTATTTATTAAATATGAATTATGATTATTTAATATTTCTATTTTTAAAAGATGTTTTAGTGCCTACCCTGTTTTTAATCTCTGATATTATTTTTTATTCATACTTACGTTGAGATGAGTGCATCGTTTTTCGGTCTGAATCGTGTGAAAAATACGTACAATAGCAAATTTATTTCCAAGTAGGAATCATGGTATGATTTAATAAAACATATTTTTCACCTATTTGGTGTTCATTCTTTTATTTTATTGATTTCGGTTGCACAATATCGAGTTTATACTTACTACATACGTGTATATAATTAATATTGGCATATTTATTATCTATTAAACATTTATATATATAATTATTAGTTTTAAGTATATCTTATATCTCAAATAATTCATAAAGGGAAACATTAAGTTATTTTATTGTACCAATGTAAATAACTTACAATTTAAATCTTATTTTAGTACAGAAATTACATTAAAGTACAGGAAGTAACAATAAACTTCAGATAATAAGAATAAAAATAAATTAGTAGAAATGGATTAGTTATGTGGTAAGTAGAAATGTTTAAAACTGGTGCATGTGGTTTTTCATTATTATAATTATATTTTCTGTAATTGCATCCACAGTGTTACGAAATAATACGATTTCTATTCATCTTTTCTCTACTCCATATGGAAGTGGTTGATATAAAGATAGATAAATAAATGTTTGTACGTGGTATAAATAATACTATTTAATATCTTAATTTAACTGTAAGTAGGTTTTTAATAATTTAGTACGGCTTGTTTACTCTCGACTTCTTCTAAAAGACATTATGTTGTCCAAAAAAATGTATCCGAGTAATATAATATTTTATAGTGTGGCTCTAATTTCGTTTAGAACATTAAATTAAGTGATTTACTTCAAATTTCATATGTTTTTAGTTAAATGGCTTACAATAAAACACAGATAAGAATATTATATTTTGTAAAGTCCAATTACAAAAATATAAGTGTTTTATTTATCATTCAATAGAGTAATTGTGCTTATTATTAAATAAGACATGATGTTGATATTATAACAAAACCCATATTTATAATATAGCAAATATGTTATTTGTGCACATTAAGATAAATACATTTCATTAAACTTTGAGATACATATTAATATAGTTCATAGTTTGATTGATAATTTTAGAGACGTTATACGTATAGTATATGTATGTATAATACTTCCAAAATGGAATAGCCTTACATCTAATATATTTACGTCAATAATCAGTTGTACATAGATTGTGGCCGTTTTTGTTGGGTTTAATGAGTCAGTGGGTGCCATTGTTGGACTTGTTCCATAGGCGAGGCAAGTGCGGAGTTCCAATGCTGCAATGCACGACCTCTAGCAAACATGTATGACCCTAGGACGAACTTTCCGAGAAGTCGGTCTGAAACAAACATTTAAGAAAACGTAAATAATAAAAATAAATATGTATAATTATAATTAATTCGTTATGACTCACATCATATAATTATCATTTCATATAAATTTAATTATATGTTAATACTTTGCCGGTAATGCTGTGTAATGTAAATAATCGTGTTAACTATTATATATACCTACATACGTAAATACCTATATATTATGTGTATGTACTAAAATATATATGTATATATCGACGTTGACCCGTAGCATCGTTATTACGCCTTTGCATCGTTACTAAGACTTTGTTCTAAAAGAGTAACAATGTAAGTTTTCCTTGGTTCACAAACAACATGTTATTGTTATTTTATTTTTTCCTTTATAACAAGTTGATATTATTGACCGAGTTAAAAATTATTATACCAATTAAATGTAAAGCATATCAAAGTAAAATATACGATTCCGAATAGACACAATTACCTGAATATTCGGAACAAATGTAGAGTATAAATTTATATTTTTGGTATATATATAAAAGAGTAAATAATTATTTCAAAAAGCAAAATAAAAGTAAATTTAATATGTATGAATTCAGGAAATGTATTAAAAGAGCATTTATACGCATTTCAGAACATGAGTGGTACGTGGTACCAAATAGATAACTAACTAAAATAAAATAAATAAAAACAACAAATCACTATCAGGAGAGCCATGTAGTAGGTACTACAGTTTAGTCGTATAGAACATTTTTCTACGAGTGAAATATATAAATGTTCGGTTATAAATATTTATATCGTATTTTCATCAAGGGATTTTATTTCGTTTACTACGTGCAAAAGTTTTTTCCATTCAATGCCTCTCATAAGCAAAAGCCTTTGTCGAGACTGGCACGTATACTGTTTTCATTTTCTCCTTTTTGTAACCGCTATAAAGGTACTGATACAGTAAGTATCAATTTACGTAATTTGCTTTTATATTTTCCAACCCATATGGAGTATTTCAAGCTTCATGTAATTGTATTTGTAGGAAATTGGGTTTGAGCTGAATTATTGTTGTTTTTGTACACAAATTGCTTATCTTTTGTCTATATGTTTACTTCATGCTCGTTACGGAAAAGGAAACTTTATTTTTCAATATATTCTTCTTTATTATAATAATTTTATATTTAAAATAATTTACTGTAGTTTTATTATACTGGAAAACACACGCTGCCTCAATTTTTTTTTTCAAGTTCATGACTCTTATAGAACACATACATATTTTTAAACACATATTTTCCGTTTTTTTTTATATGTATTTAGTTTTGTCTTTTTCTTGTAGTTAATTTAAAATAATAAAAGGCACATATAAATAAAGTTTTTGTTAGTAAAATAAATAGAAGAACACCTTCTTTATTTGTTTACTACATATATGTACATATAAAGCGGAATTTTCCTAATTTAAAGGAAGTAGTATATATAATATGAAATAGAATTAGTTTTCAATATACCTACTTTCCACCATAAATATATTATCGTAAAATGTATCATATATTTATAATAGTTCCAACGCAATGGGAAATCCCGAATACCTTTAGGGATTTCACAGAAATCTAAATATTATTCCAAGTGGATTTAACTGCTTCGCAAAGCAAACGCCACAATGTTTGCTAATCGCGATAAACTTAAACAACCACAGTATATGTATACCTGAAGGGGTGAATTCCATTAAATTTATTTTCAGCCTCGCTTGTATATACTTTTGGTACTACTAATCGAAATGTTTGCGAGCTCTTTTCAAAGTTTCAATATAAATTCAGCAGGTGTCTAGAGTGTAGGTTCAGAGAGGCGTGATATATATTTTATCCAATTTTATATTACATAAATTCGAAACATTAGTATTTTACAACGACTTCAAATAATGCGTGATATCTTCAGAAGTTCCATTTATGTTTATTTCAATTTTGTAATAAATTTGGTTCCTTTTACAAGAAATAATCTAACGTTATTGTTATGAATTTGTGATATGTTATATTCTATCCAATCTTAATACAAATTCAACGTATTTCGCCATCATATTCTCCCTCTAATTTAAAAGAATTTTGCTGTTATGGTTTTCTTGTGAAGAGTTTTAGATTTAGTTATATATTTTTTATGCTGTCAAGGGTGATGGCCAAGCCGTCCGTACCTATCTAAGACAAAATAAATAAAGAAACAAGATGTTTGTGTCAGGCGGAAACCAATTTAAACAGCATAGCAATAGAAGACTATATTATAACTTTCTGTTTTTCTTACTTTATAACTAAAAATAGCAAACAACGACATGTATGATCTTACTTATGAATGGAAGTCTTTTTCTAGGAGAAAAGACTTCCATTCATAAGTAAGAATATTTACAATATTTTTGTTACTAAATATATACTTTACTTACATAATTATATCTATAAAGCAAGATGAGTTTGATAAGTATCTTATCTTAGACTGGGTGGCATAGTTAAAGAGATTCTCATGAATTGTTGAAAACATGTAAGTGACATTGAGGAATCTAATCTACAGAACACCCACATCAAGGAAGACACGGGTGCATTAGAAACGAAATTAAATTACAATATTAAATAGGTACGTAGTTACTCAACATTAGAATAAATTTACATACCTGTCTGTCTCTGTAAAGATTATAATAATTAGCTATATAACGTTCGTGAAATATTACATGGGATTATTATAATCACGCTAAAGTGAACATATAGGTATATTTTAGAAAGTAATAGAGGGGTGATGTACCTCTATATAATTATCCCCGAGATAGACTAAAAAGTCGTCTGCGTGGGTACCCCAGTCTTAGTTGTTTCAGATGCCTAATTAGCTTTGCTTTATAAACTGAATATTGGTTGAAGGCATAAGGCAGTGAAATTGCAGAATAAATATAATAATTAAGTTAAATAATTGCAGGATTGGTATCACGGGCGACAAATGACGTGATGACTGCAGTGCTGTTCATGTATATAGGTGACGGTTACCACATACCATCAGGGGCATCGTAATGTTCTCTGCCATTAAAATCTAAATAAATTCTTATACCTAAATCCTTGTGATGAATCCTTTATGATGCCTATATCGTTGGGTTAAAACGTTTTTTCATTTCGACGGAACGGCGTTTTACGACCGTCATGTTTATTTTGTTGAGCAGATAATAACTTGAATTGTGAGGTTTTGCTAGCGATATTACCATTATTCGCTTAGTAGTCGTGTAAGAATTTATTTTGATAATAAAATCAACTGTCAACTCAAAAGAACTGTTAAAAGCAGAGGCTGCAAGACTGATTGTATTCATTCTGGAAAATGGAATATAGTTTGGCGAACATAATTGGACTCCGACAGCCGGGAACAAGGTTACCACTACGAGTACCTCTCGGATTAATTTGGTTCAGTGATGGCATGGTCGGTGGAGAGTTAATTGGTTTGAAGTTAAATTAATAATAATTCAAGTGTATTCCTTATACCTTGCATTGCCACCGTGACTTATAACCTTATTGTCAGTCATAAATTCTAATCTGACTTATCGTATAAAATTTATTTTACGAACACAACCAGTTAAATAGATAATATTAATGAACTAAACTTAGTTAAACACAATGATAAATCTATCCCGTCTACTATCCAATTAAAATATATCTAAAGAAAAGCAGACAAATTCATTCCATACATTCTTCACAGGATCAATAAACTTTCGAAATAATAGTCAGTATAGTTTTTTTTTATATTATTGTTTCAACTAATAAGAAACTTTTAGGTACGTGATAAATTTTAATATAATATAAAAAAAATTCTTAATAAACGAACCTACCTTTAGCATACACAGAGTGTGGTTGCAAAGCTTGCACTGTAACACTGGTAGTGTGCAATTCATCAGCTCGTAGCCTGAAGTGGAAGCACTCGGAGACCAAAGCGCTGCCATCGTCTCCCACTTCAACGGCGGCAGTGCGACGCGCGCGTACTCCACGACACGCACGTTCTTGCGTTACTCGGACCACCATCTCACGCTTGTTTGAGGACGGGTCCAACTAAACAAATGTTTATTTAATTTTTAGTAACATGCTCTTAGTCGGCTGAAATTCACCATATAGATTGGCTTTGTGCAAATGAAAAAAAGTCCAAAGACAGATAGGCGGCTTCCTTAGAAAGTAGAATACGAGCACTCATGAACAGTTTCCTCATACACCCCGCTTTCACAAGTTCATCATTACAAATGTAAATTATCTGCACATTTCAATTATATATCGGGAGATTAACAAACATACTGTTACGCCGAGGAAATATTGTCAATAAAAATCCATCAGAGTTAGTATTAATAGACTAATCAAACATTTAAACTTTAATCAAGCGCTTAGTATTGTTTCTTCCTTATCGTTGTTTTCTATAAAGGATATTTGAAAAGAATAAAATTGATGTCTGAGTAATTCTACATTAAACGCAATAATTATTTATATGAGCATTATTTAAATAGGTGAATGTATCAGCATCACAAATTAAATACTCGTCTACATTCTACGTTTTCATGGGGAGATATGTAATTAAATTAATAACGATTTCATCCCCAGAATGGATTTTGATTAAAAGAGATTATGTCGAGGCGTAAAATAAATTATTAAATCTCATCAATAATTGAACATTTTGATTACCTAATTTACTACGTACTCGCTTCATTTTGATTACTGCCTACAAAGTGTCATTATTATCTATTTAAAAATTTCTTCTAACTTTAACATAGTATTTATGGATGATGATACTATTAGATTAGAAATATGAACTGTGTTAATTTGGATATTGTGAAGTTAGTATCTTGAGTATCTACATCTTTTACTGCAAAAGCTACGCTCATTAATGTCGGGTGAATGGGGTGTTCATGATTATTATGGTGATTATTATTATTAATGTAGATTTTAAAGTTCAAGTATATATTTTCTTATCTATGATTACACGTTTAAAATATTATGAAGTTTTAATTTATTCATTTATTCTATATTCAAACGCCATTCTGGGAATGTATTTTCATTACGTTTACATTAGTTGTAACAACTGGAAGTAATAGAACTAATAATATATATATAACTCTAATATGTACTTATTCAGTAGAAACTGGACACTAAAGTACATCTATGTCATCATAGTAAAATATTTACTAAAATATACATAGGTGACTTAAAGAAGCGGAAATTATTAATATTATAACAGGGGAACGAACAACACGACGAAAAATATGACAAAACAGTTTATTATGCAAAAATGGAACGTGCCTGTCGAGTCTGTATACCCTCAGTCAGTATAAGGAAGGTAAATATCGATTTAATTTTTGTCCTACTTGACGGACAAAAATTATGTAGTTTAGGAATAACATCAAAGTACATAATTATACATTTGAAAAGATGTTTGAATGTATTAAATTTTAATGCTTTTGAAATTTATAGTAATTGATGATGAAATTATAGGATAATAGGCATGACATTTTAGTCCTCTGGAATGACGATACGTGAATAGTATCGAGAGTGTCACTTGATAACGTAATGCCCGTAGTGTTGCATGGAGACGGTTACTGCTTTCCATTAGGTGGGCCTGTATCGTCAAGCTGACGATACAGTTTATCATTCGATACGTTTACCATTTACTACAATTAAAATTCTCAATAAACTAAACCAATAAAAAAATAAAAGTGATATGACCTACATGAAATCAAATCTCAAAACTTTTAATACCTACCAAGACTTGTAATCCTTGCTACTTTTAAGTTATATTAATTGTTCAGTATGTTAAATAGCAATTTTGTAAGTAATTTTATTAATAGAAGTTTAAAATTAATAAAAACGAGATTTAATAAATAATACCTTATGCAAATTTTAAAAAAATGTAAGAATTTGTTTTTAGTAGAATTCTCAAGATTAAAGAAAATTATTGTAATTAAATGCCAGTTTTATGGTATAAGATTTCAATGTTTCACTTTTAGGGAGGTATTTGTAAACACAAATTAAAAAAAATCTGCTGAATCTGATCTCACCTTAAGTGCTCGAGCCTCTATAACTGTGACGGTAAGCCGATGTAAATTTTCGTTATAAAGCAATGACACCAACACCTCGCCCAAATCGGAAGTAGGTTCTTGTAACTCCTGAAAAACATAAATTATTATAAAATTTGATTTTGTACTTGAAATTATATTATCCGATTTCTAAATAATTTTTTAATTAATTTCCAAGGACATAGATAATGTCACATTTTTATTGTATGTGTGTATATATAAAGTAAAAACAAAATTAATCGTAACTGTATTCAACTTTTAATCAGCATATTTTACTTCATATATTTGATTTCGATAGTAAATACTAATTGATACCAAGAACATATTAAGAATCAAAATAATAACGTAATCCAATGAAATACCAAGTAAATGTTCTGTCAAATGAAAGAAATTACAAAAAATATAACTAAAAAAGAATATAACAGAGAAATCTATTTAATTTACGCCTTTACCTTTTCTATATCAAGTTTGTATAACTGTGGTTCTTCATCAGGCGAGACTCCCTCCAACTCACTCAGTGGCAGTATAATGTGACCAATAAGCTGTTTCCCTTTTCCCACTCCCCCCAAATCGAGCACAGATAGTTTCAGAGTCAGACCTTCCACTTTGCCCGGTGGAATCTGTTAATAAAGTAATTTAGTCATTATTATTGATTTATTATCTATGTAAGATGATTATATAAATTATACTAATGAACTATAAAATATATAAAGAGAATATATAATTATGACTTTTTTCGTTGCACTAGATAAGGTTAAAAAAGTAGATAATCAATTTCTATTTGATTTTGCCTACGACGAGTAAATTACTAGTTTTAAAATAATCAACATGTTTTTTTATGTATTTGCCATGACATGACTGGTAATATAGTGCCTAAAGTAATACTCATCATGTCAGTCCTGTTATGACAGGATAGAACACAACAGAAATAATAATTAACATCCTCTATGTAGTAAACTGTATATGTAGATTGAAAAATGAATAAATAAATGACGGTTCATTTCCGTCTGGATTGGTGCCTAAAGTTTTTAATGTACTATCAGAAAATACGATAGTAAGTTAGTTTACCGAGGTTTCCATCAAAATATAGAGTTACAGACGATTCACGACTCTATACTTATAGTAAACGTATGGTATCAGTTATTTATTTAGGATTCTACCTATATTTGATCGATTTTGTTTGAAGGTTCGTTTTGTGATCCGTGAAAAGCTTTGTTCCACCTCTTTCCTTTTACAATTGATAAAATATACTGTCGGTGTTAGGTTAGGCGTCATAGTGAACGTAATATTTGACATGCACACATTTCGCCGAGCATATTTATATCTAACGTGGCAGATTAAAGTGACAGTGTATGTAGGAAGCATTTATTCGCGAAGAAGTAATTGGAAATTCAATATGTATCTACGTATACAATAATATCATATAACATGAAAATTACTTCATGATGATGGTAATGAGGCCAAAAGGTATAAGGCAGTAGTAAGTAGTAAGTATAAATTACCGTAAATGTAACAACAAGTTCAATACTAGAGTATTATTGCAATTGACAAAAATTGATTTCCATTTAGCAAATCTAACATAAAAAAGAGGCAGAAATAATAATGTTTTCTATGAATAAAATATATCATAAGAATATATTCAGGATGACTATATCCTGTTACATGAAAACCAGATATGTTGAGAACAAGTCCTATTTTATGGTGTTGAAAACAAATCTCTGACAATATACCAAGTTAGATGTTTAAAGGTCATTCATAAATAAAGTTATATGCAAAAGAACAATGAATATTCTGTAATTTTCAAAGAGCGATTGCGACTTGAAGAAAGTTAAATTACTTGGAAACATCATAAAAAGTTATTTTATATTTTTATTACAATACTTAACGAGAAAGCATGATTGTCTTAACATTGTGTCATATTAGCAAGCTTTTTATTTACGGTGTCTTACACTAATATATATTGAATTGTATTACAGAGAGATAGAATAGAAGAGAAATAATATTTAAAACAAACTTAATATAAACACTTCTTAGAATCATTTTAACAGTAACAATAAGGATGAGAGGAAAGACTACCTACCTACAATAAAGGAAAGCCGCAAAACAAATTATAAATACAATTATTTTTAATACAAGATTATATCAGAAATGTTTTATTTTAAAATTACTTTATATCACTAAATTACCTCAAATTCTAATATTATGGAAAATATTTCAAGGTATTGTACTGTTTGAACTCTCGGTAACCCAATTCACACCTTTATAGAACATTAGCTGATTCTCACGACTTCGCTTGCGTGATATTTATGTAATACTTCGATGATTTTTATATTACTCTGCTGATTGTGATTTTAACCTTTTCTAATCTTATATTCGTAATAAAATGTAGCTTAAGTATTTTGCCAAAATGTATCGCTATGGATACCAAAATTCGTGTAAATTTATCATTGCTGTAGGTTAAAAAGAGACATATTTGTAGTTTAAAGATTAGTTTCATATTTATTGTTTTATTTTGATTTTTTTAATACTCTCATTGTTACAGTAATTATGAGTAACTAGTAATTATAACACGTTAACTTGTATATTTCCCTTGAACTTAGGGGTATTGTAAATAAACATAGATACCTACATCGGAAACTATAAATACTTCTTAGTTCTTGCTATTTCAGTAACTTGAGGGTGTAAAGGGCTTAATAAAATTAATCATGCCTTTAATATTATTAAAGTGAGAAGAGCACTTGAGAGCCCAATTAGTATAGAGTAGGTACTGTCGATAACTATGTCCATTTACGTAATTAAATTTCTTCCCGTTCGGTACACATTGAATATTTTGTATTGCCAGACAACAAATTTTAAGTAATACCTAAATCGGAATTAATACGTTTATACCTACAAATATATTGTTATAGTCTAATATTTTACACTAATAGGTAACTTTAGAACCAGATCAATCAACAATATAGGACATTCTTAACTAGCTGCGAAAATTATAGCAAATTGTTTCCCAGTTATATATATCCTATTTGCATATATTTTCATGTTTCTAAAATTATATTTATTAAACCTGCACTTAGATTTCTTTGAGGATTAGTCTAAAGGGACTGATTTAACATCCATTAAAATTGTTAATTTCGTACAAAATGTGCCGACGTGGTATTTGTTCAACGTAATTATTAATTCTATTAAAATACCCTTTAATAAAGAGTAAACGGACCAGCTAAAAGGGTCACAGGTTACAGAGCTCCATAGAAAGAATCCATCGCGTTAATTTATGTATAAATATTTGAAGAGAATTTTGTCAATGTCGATAAATAAAAAGTCATCATTATTATATTCTTTTTGATACATGTTTATAAGATTAGATTTTAAAGGACAGTAAAACATACATATGTAGGTTTGCCTTAATGCTGTTTTTTGATGCAATTAATAGTTGACTTGACTTTATTCGAAACTTCTCTTATCGTTTTGGACTAAGCATATATTTTTATAAGGAATTTGAACAAAATGACATGATAGTAGTGGTAAAATAAAAATATACTATAATTATAAATCTTCATTTCATTTATGCAAACTAAATAAAGTTATATTACGGCGAACTCATTAATATTTCTAAAAAAAACAATTGTTTCAAAAAGAAAGTTAAAATAGAATAGAAATTACAATACTTTCTATAAATTATGATGTATTGCTATTTTTTATAATTTTAAATAAGCAGAATAATTAATCTAGGTAGTTGTTTTTTTTTAAGTTAATCCTGTACCATTCATTAAGGATTTATTGTATATCAGTTATATGAGATGTCCGGGGACATCTCATATAATTGTTAAAGAATTATGATTATTCTTTTTAATAATACCCTATTGCTATAATAATAAATTTGTCATTTTAGTGCTTATAGCACATATTAGTACTCTTATTAAAATATATATTATAAACTAGCTTTTGCCCGCGGCCTCGCTCGCGCTAATTTATCCTGTTAGGGGTGGAATTTATCAAAATCCTTTCTTAGCGGATGCCTAAGTCATAACATCTACCTGCATCAAATTTCAGCCCGATCCGTCCAGTGGTTTGGGCTGTGCGTTGATAGATCACTATGTCAGTCACCTTTGAGTTATATATATTTAGATTGATACTATAAAAATATGTCTCAGCAGTCTCAGTATAAGATATAATTGTAAAGTAAAAGTAACAAACATAAACACTCCTTTAATATTTTAAAGCGTTTACTTGAAAGTTTAATTAATTTATTCATCATTAAGGACTTACTTGATAAACAAAACTTTCATCAAAGAACGGATTGCAAGTCTTCTTCTTCTGTTTGGTTTGCAGCACTCGTCTCTCGTCTGGCATTAGTTGTATTCTAACAGATAAATTAACAGTATTAATATTTAAGTATGCAAATTAATTAAGTTAACATTATACCACATGGTATAATAAAGAACCTGTTTAACATGCCTACATTCGTGGACAGTTATTATACTGAAAAACTTTATTCCTGTTCACGGCCACAGTTAGTATAATATCTAAGACTCGTTTCTGACTTTGTTGGTACGTTTTCGTATCTGTAGCGAATCTGTACATATTCATTAACGAAACGGAATAATGCTTTTTTATTAGTATATCTGGTCTAGTGACCAGAGCGACTAAATGAGCCTATATGGAAGTAAACGCCTTACAAACCTCGTCTAATAGAATGAAATGAAAAGAATATACGATGTACATAGTATAGTATTAAATAGCTACACTATGTCACAATAGTTTGTCTAATATTAAAGCCTGGAAATTAGCTTCACGATATTATTATGAAAAATGAACAATAACTCCGATAGCATTTTGTTAAAACATTCATGATGTTGAAAAATTAATAAGTCTGACGGAAAAACATTCTGGGTCAGCATGCATATGAAATTGTATGTGGTAACTGATGAAGTATGTGATGAATAGAAATTTATAGTGTTTCTATTATAAACAATGTTTTCATTAATCCTCACAATCTATAAATATCTAAACTATTAATTAAATGTAAAAACAAGTTGTTTGAAATTTTATTCGGAATCGGAATAAAATGTTGTTTTCCTAAAAAAAGTTCCATGTATTCATATTAATTATTAATAACGAAGAGCAGTAAATTCTGCAGTCAACAATGTAAGCTGTATTTATATATCTGAATCCATTGGTAGACTCCATCACTTACATAATATAGACAACTTGATTTAACTAAATATTAGTTATGCCATTTACAGTACCATGTCTATCTCACATTACGAACATGTTAAACAGAACTACATCGAATATAGTTGTCAGCAGGTTACGCATAGTTGTAAGTGACGTACATGTAATTATTATATCTACCAACGGGAGACTTTTTAGAAAGTCATTTGAGTGGCTACGTCAATGTCAACTAATTCCATAGCCGCTTGTATTTGAAATTGTGTCTCGGTTTGAATGCTGAAATAGTACCAATTATGTATGGGTATAAAATACATTGTGATCTCCTTGATACTACTTACGTACTACTCGATATTTGTCACTTCATCAGAGGTATTGTCAACCTATCAGCTATTTCTATAGCTATTCCAATGAACTAAGTATTAATAAGTACAATTAAATATAATATTTCAAAAATCTCAACTTAAGTTGTCAGATAACACTTCGTAAAACTTAAAACTGAGTTGATAATTTGTACCTCTGAAACGTTCTTCATAAATTATAGCTAAGCAATGTTTCGATCATGTTTTTTTTTCAAATAAAAAAGCATCATAATATGTATATCCCTTGGTTTGGAAGTTACGTTGTCAAATACAGATACACGGGTAGATATACTCGACTTTGAACACCGGTAATTTTATTTTCATCGGATATAAAATTACCTAAATTTTCGAAATCTAAAACTGAAACATTAACAGATTATGAATTAATAATTGTGATTTATGCCCTTTCCATTTAACTAATAGAATATTATATTTGATAAGGTTAACAAACGGATATATCTGAGCTGTATTGCGGTTTCGGATCCACTGGACCTTAAAATCTCTCCTTTATTAAACTAACCGTCGCATTCGTCCCACACAAAATTTTAAGACCCATTGAAATTGTTGGAAATTACTGAATATATATGTGATATATCATTTCGAAAGTTTGACACTTCATTATGTGAAGCAAATTATATCACATTATTTAAGAGATATAGTATTAAAATAACAAAAAATATTGAATAGGCGGGCTTAATGATATATAACAAGCAATTCAAATATGTAATAGTAATAGTACTATTGCTACTAATAGTATTATATATAGATATAATTTAGTTTCAGAATTATAATAAATAATTTCGTTAAAAAGTGTATTAGGGAATTAAAAACTTTATCATAAAAAAAATTAACAACAGTGTTTTAGAATTTTTATATCTCCATTCCGTCCGTCTGTACATTTATCCACACGTCACACAAAATCTACTAAATAGAATTGTATTAAGTAATACTTTATACTATAAAGTATCCATATTGGTTTAACAAAATATCTGAAATCGTATTAAGCAACAGTAACCACTGTTGCTTAATACGATTTCAGATTATAATTATATTATATTAATAATATAATATATTATAATAATATTATTATGGATGTATGAATGGATGACAAATAATTAAGTAATAAAACAATAAAGTACTTACTTTATGTAAGGATCGCAAGCGTTGGCCAGTGCCGGAGTACGGGAGGGCAGGTGTTTTGCTTTCATAATGTGCACTTGTAACCTTTCAGTGCTTGATTCGTATTTCAGCGTGAACCATACTCGCCCCTAGGGAAATCAAAATGGATGTCCAATTAGGCCTACATATCATTTTGAATTTACTTCATGAATCACACTTTAGAATCCATTGGTGTCATTATATAGGTACTATTGATGTTTTCTTGGCAAATAACTTTAGTTTTTAATTCTACTATTTTTTTTTTTACCTATTGTAATGGTCATTACGTACCATAGAATTTTCTCTTTTGTTACTTCCAAACCTGATATAATATTCCAAACCTAATCTAAAATAATAATTTTTTGATAATATTTTTTGTAGAATAAATTCTTAAGGGGGTCTTCCTATGTGATGGGTTGAAAAAATCGTTTTTTTTTTTTTCATAAATTGCTCCCTTAACATGTCTAGAATACGGTACTTTGGCAGTTAGAGACCGGGCCTATTGTGTACCGTCGGCTTTATAATCCTGGCCTCCCTTTTATTAATATATTTGTTTATACAAGTTTAGACCATTACCGGGTCAACTTCGAAGAGAGCAACAGCTATTTTTTTTCATAATGAGTGGACGGAAAGGAAGTACGAGTGGAAATGTTCATCCTGGTCGTAGTAAAAAAAGAAAGTTTTGTGGAAACCGTTTTACCCACCAAAATGACAAGGTATTTACATCAGCTTCGGCCAAAAAACTTGTTCCCATCGCTTCGAATTTCGCATATTGCATTTTGGAGTTTGTTTCTGTATTTGCTGCAATCTCTGAAATAGTTATATGTAAAACTTGTACAAGTGACGTGTCTATTTCGCGATCAAGTTTCCGAGGCCTAGGCTTTAAAATTATTTTATCGTGTGAGTGTTAAACATCTTCATTCTGGTCCCAAAGTTGTTGAAATTGCTAGCTACTTAGCAGTTATTATCTTTAATGAAGGTTTTCCGAATTTTAAAAGTTATGTCATTATGGGATGCCCTGTTGGTCGTGAAGCCCAAGCGTATATTGAGAACGGGTCGTTAAACAAGCCAGGATTGACTCAAGAGCTGAACAATCTGCTTTAAAAGAGTTTCACGAGGAAGAGGAAGGAATACCTATGGACCAGGCATCGCCGATTGATTGAAACTTTAAACGCGTTTTTCTCAAAACTGTGTTTTTCAAACTTTCCTCCATTGTATCTCAAAACGGCTGGACCGAATTACTTGAAATTTACAGGGCACACTCAATATATGTAAACGCATGGAATGAACTATTATCAATCGAAAATTTTCAAAACTACGATTTTTTATAGCAAAAAACAAAAAAAAAACGCCTTTTTGTAACTTTTATTTCAAATGTCTATCAAAAATCCAATTTTTTTTATATTCATTTGATTATAGGTCATTCCGTGCTTTTAAGCCTACAAATTAAAACGCCGTTTTTTTTTTTTTCAATAAGCCAGCGCTGTAACTCTAGTTTGACTGAATATTTTTAGCTTAAATTTTATATTTATACTGTCCAAATATGTGTTAATAAATGATAAAAAACTTGAAGCTCTAAATATTTACTGGTCGTAGAAAAAAAATCCTAAAATATCCCTAAAAAACAGGCCGTCACATAGGAAGACCCCCTTAAACCAATTAATTACTTGTACTGTTGAATCCAAGCGAGATAGAAATACCGAGGGTCATTGACTTCTACCATTAAACGTAACTATATTTTTAATAACATATATTATGAGTACTATCTTCATTGTTTCAGAAAAAAATGGAATAATTTAACGAAATTACAAATTTATGAAAGTTTGTAACGTGAATATAAGATAATTTTCTACTTACATACTTAGAAATTAAGAATACTATAAATAACTCTAATTCAAATACAAATAAAAATTTATTAACTCTTTAACTAAAACATTTAGTATTAAGCACTAAATAAAAACTCTTTTAGATCAAATATTTTACTAGAGTGCTATCTGATGTGAGTCCGTTATTCCGTATCAATTTACACCTCCTGTTATCCCCGTACAGGCGGTCGTAAAATGCTATTACCCACATCCCTTTACTCGTGGGCGTCCCATCGATTTATATAAAAAGAGCTACAATATTTTGCACAATGCATATGTTATAACAAAAATATGTTATAACATATAAAAACGGTTACATACATACAACCCGCATTATGCCAATACGTAGGTTACTTTTGGTTTTCATTACAAGGGTTTTCTATTTTGTTAGACACAGTTAGACTCTTTTGCGCGGCCGTTAGTAGATACTTTAAGCTGACAGAAATCATAACAAATGTTGAATGCAACTACCTAGGTTTCATAAATCAGCTAATAAAAGTCTTCTTATTCAAGTAGTAATAATAAATACTCTGTTTATATACAAAGGTCATGAATATTTAATAAAACCTTGACAGGTGTATCTTTATCATCTTGTAGTTCAAATAGTAATAGCATTATTGTTTCATATAAGTAAAAGATTTCTCGAAAATTCCTATAAAGTGTACAATATAGGTAAGTTAGGTTGCACTTATATCAATCTATTTTTTAAATAGTCTACCTATTATTTACTATTACTCAAATAATCATACAAAGTAAATATAAATAATATTATAACGAATGAAGTCTGTATTTAGACAGCATTCGCGGACTAGACTACTGCATATACTCCAAGAATAAACATAAGGTCAAAATTGTTTTCTTTGCCAAAACAAAGTACTAGCGGTTTATCATAGTTTTCTTATCGTGGATCCATTATCTCATGTACTAGAGGGATTTTCCGATTTCCATTAATAATATATTTATTAAATAGATGCTCATGATCAAAAGGAAGTTTTAAGTTGAAATTATTAAACACAGGTATATTATATAACAAATGTTTAATAATTTGATTGACAAAAATTTTAAATCTCCAAGTACGAATATAATTTAGAAAAAATATATTAACTATTACTAGTACTTCGTTTATATCATCTATTTTAGAATTAGAAGAATCTTTATGAAAATACCAATGAAATAGAATATTAACTCAATTAAGCTCAATATAAATGTAAAATAGATTGTAGATGATACAGAGGTATTGTATATTACATATTTTTCTACTAGATAATGACGGCAAACTCGCAGTGTAGAGTTAAGCTGCAAAAATAATCTGCATGCACATATCACTTGGTAATAGAAATGTGAGAGTTTTTTATGTGCATCAAATAATGTATAATAGTAATAATATATATAATAGACAATATATGCTACTTATCATCTGCACTACGATTAGTGATTGTGAAAGACGAAAGTTATGTTCAATCGATACAGTTTGGGCTGAATAGCAACTAAATTATTTACTCACCACGTGACCCTCTGGCCACATGAGATCTTCGTCGAGACAATCCGATTTATATAGCGCCGGGTCAAGTACACCGAGGTCAGCTGTGTTTGCTAAAGGAAAAAACAAATATAATTACATAAAATTAGTGTGAATTACGTTAAGCTTAATTATAAAACTGTATGAATTATTAAAATATAGGTATAATTTAATCATTCATACAGTTTTCTAAATTTTCAAACAAGTTAAAAATATAATAATGACAAATTAAGAAGAAATTTAATAATAAAATTAGGTGCATATTGATTGCAGCTTAATAAAGTATAAATACTATCTTAATAGCTAATGTTCTGATACAAATTCTAAAGTAAGAAAACTACTGTAATCACAGAGGCATATAGACGACGATTAATCTTAATATAATGTTTGAAGTTTCTGATAGGCTCATAAGAATGGATTCCCATATTAAGTCTGTCATACGACTCAGTACATAAATATTAAAGAACTACATAAATAATGCTTTTTATATCTACCGAGGACAATGATATGGTTGCGGTCACGTTGACCAGTATTATTGTTGATCGCCTATGATATTGATGAAATGTCAGTTAGCACAAATTTACATAATTAAAACGACTATAATCGCTTCTAAAACCAAAATCACTATTTTCTTCTGTTTTTCCGCTTATTTATTTATACTGGCAGGTTTATATAGATATGTTAAATGCAATTAATAATAATAATAATACCAAAAAAAGCATTTAATCAAGGTAAGTAAGAGTTTTTTACTTAATGTTTTTAATAATGAAACAAATAATATACAAATTAGACTTTTTTTATTATTATTAATGGGTTTGCGCTTAGTCTTACCTCATCTGATGGCAAATGATGGTTAGACCTAGACTATATATAATATGTATTCTTTGCAAAATTATTAATTTATAAATTACATATGCTTTAAAATGGGTAAACTGTTTTCCCCAGTCGCTACCTCTATCATCTCAGTAACTATTAACACAAAAATCTTTAGACAACAAAAAACACAAAGTTGATTAAATTTAGTAATTTAAATTTGAGTTATGATTTAGTGTCACGCGATATGAAAATTTATTACTTTTTTCATACGAACGCGTACGGGTAGGTATACATTTTATATTAACCCCTAAAATATGTATATGGGGCATGCATAAATCTATTTTGCTTGTTTTCAATAATTTGGCTATGCAAATAAAGAATAGACATAACACAGTTAACTATTTCACAACTAAACTGCTCCATGTATCAAAATGCAATTGCAATAATATAATAATAAGCAATAAAGGTCGTATCAGAAGGACATATATTGGCTTCATTTATTTAAAAAATAATTGAAGTCGTGTGAATTATTTGCATTATTGGTAGCTTTGTCAGTCAAAAACAATGAAAATAAAAAAGTTTCATTACAAAAAAAATATTTGTTTAGGTAAAAGAATATTGTCTATATTTCATATAAAAGGTTAGGTCTACATGGAAGTATTTCCAGGATGCTAGCAATATTACTATGCTAAACTAACTCGTTAATCTATAAATGAACTATTAATAGGCTAAGATTTTGTATGATAAGATAAATATTGCATATCCAGTGGATACTTACTACAAACGCATATTTATAAAATATACAATATAAATTCTCTTTACCAAATATATAGAACATGCAAGATATGATGTGATATTTGTGTAAACCACTTTTTTACTTTTGAAATGTCACGACAACTGTTTCCATTAAAATACATGTCCGCAACTCTACCTACATGCCGCCAAGGCAATATGTTTTGCGATTATGTACTTTGCGGAAAACGGGGTTTGACGAGCACATTATATGTGGGTTGTTGTAAGGATTGTATACTAAAACGTGATAATACATCACAGTCATAATATTTATTTTATTTTCTCGTGGTCCCATTTTTATATTGCCTTTTAGAGAATGATATACTTTCGGACAATATGTTGTAATAAAAATCACAACCGTACCGTTACCATAGTCTATGGATGCGAGAAACACCAGGGTATCACGTGCTGGTTGCCGACCCTTAAGAAACCTTAATATACCCTTCTCGAATAACCTCATGCTGTAGTCGAGAGAAGGGTTTATGAGCCCCGTGTACCCAATATAATTATTATTATATTACTTAACGTCTTGGTGGTATAGCCGTTTACCACACCATCTTATTTCCGATGGTCGCAGATTCAAGTTCGAGCACGATGCAAACGTTTTGAGTAATTGTAAATATCTACCTACAATTCTGCTCAGCTTGGGTCTATCTGGCAATATATATTATTTATAAGATTATGTGTATTTGCATGTCATGAATGATATACAATAAGGTTAACAGTAAACACCACCTTTATGCTCCTTAAAGTACATAAATGATGCAAATACTAACATATGCTGAATAACGTGACTAACAGCTTAATGGTATGCTAATGTACTTACAGTTCTGTTCGCAGTTTGACTTGTTACTATTGCAAACTTAAATATCTATCAGTCAACTTGAATTACTAACAGTTAGTAATATTTGCTCTCTGAATTATAACCTTTGTGTATTAATATTAATTTACATGTCTAATCTATTTGTTTTTGATGACTGATATAAATTCCAACATAGTAAAATACTATTATACGAATGGACGATATAGATTGCATTGATCTGTTCATAACTGGTATTTTTAGATTGAATTGTTCATAAAACTTAACTAAACATAAGATATATACGTAACTAATACACAGTTTGTATATAATATAATATATATTGTACACCTTTATGCAAAGAGCAATAAAGATATCTCAATTGCTAAGAGTGTGGTTAATGCAAATACTGTTCTTGTTCATGTCCATACTTTAAAAATATAACAGCGACACGAATGAATTAGGCACTTTAATAAATTTTCTATAACCAAATCAAAGTTCAAAAAATTACATCAAGTTTTTGTATTAGAACTTTGTAAAATTAATTTTCGGCAAGTTCAATTAGTTTTTGTGAAGTTTGACATAATAATATTCTAGCATTAATATTAAGTTACCGGTTGTTTAATTAACAGTGCTGTCAGTTCAAATATTTCGTAAAACTTCTTTATCAGATTAGGACTATATTTATTTGTATAAATTATGTCAAATTTACTTTATGGAAAGAAGTACATGTACAGTATCAGGTTTGGCATCGCGCACATATCTCTGGTGTTTCAGGCATCCATAGACTAAGGTAAGCGTTATCATCAGATAGTTTATACGCTAGTTTGCCACCATCGTAGTATAAAAAAAATTATGTCCATAACATAATTAACAGGAGAAGGAAATAGATTACATTAATCACTGTTTGTAACATATATTTGGTCAGCTGTCAGGTTGCCTAAATGCTACAAATGTCCCGGTGGACTCCAATCGGCGGCAATCTAAATTTAGTTGCACTGTTTGGTGATGGACGATATAGTAACCAAACGTACGAACGGGACCGATAGTGTCATATGGGTACACTTATAAGTGAATGAATATATGTTACCAGATTTACGTATTTGTATATAACATAGAATACACAAAAAGAAATACTCATTACACTGATGTCTTTTATTGATATATTAATATAAGTAAAAGTAAAGTTTTTGATGAAGTGTTTTTCATTTTAGAAGAGTGAATTGAAAATTTATTTTATATATAGTTTACCCGGGCGGTCCCAAAAGTACCCGACCTGACAAAGAAAACAGTAAAAAAATTGCAAAAGTGTTTGTTATTTTTCAATATATTCTCTTTTCAAGTCGATACACTTTTCCCGATGTTCAATAGCTTCGATACCCGCTTTATAGTAGGAGCCGTCAAGGTCCTCAAAATAGCTATTAACCTTTTCATTGTTGCCGATCTTTTGCTGCCAAGCCATTTTTTCAAATTTGCAATAAGAAAATAATCAGTGGGAGCCAGATCTGGCGAATAGGGTGCGTAAGGAAGCAATTCGAACTTCAACTCATGGAATTTAGCCATCGCAATGACGCACGTGTGGACTGATGCGTTGTTGTGATGAAAGAACACTTTTCAAGAAAGTTCTTGATTTCATCGCTTAAACGCTGCAGTAAGACTGCATAATATGCGCCATTGATTGTTTTTTCTTTTTCGAGATAATCAATAAATATTATTTCACGCGCATCCCAAAAAACGGATGCCATGTTTATAAGTAAAATATTCAAATTAATTTAAAAGCGTATGTGTGAGTAACTATATATAATAATATACATTCACAAATACTTAAATTAATTTGTTAAATAAATCCAATTTAATACAGCATAATATCTAAATAGCTGAATTAAGTAAGATTATGAAGGCAGTCCACAGGGTATCAAATTATATTTTACTTAGATAATAACTTGAACAGTAAGTTTAATAAGCCTAATAACTAAATGTACGGTAAACCACGTATTATACTTACTACTAAAAACTCCGTGTGGTTTTGCATGCGCAAACCCGTCATTACCCTTTCCCATGAGAAATAACCTATAATAATATTTAGGAATAGCGTAAAATATTATTAAATTAATTTTATGGAATCCGCTTATATACTTTAGTGATGTGGCAAATATTTAAATTAAAAGTGTTACCTGAATATATAGGTTGCCTCTTACAGATATAGAAGAAAAAAAATATATATTTATCAGAAAAATGTCTTACGATTATATAGAGACTTCAGTTTAATACTGAAAAGCGAATGGATTTGTTTGCATTACTTTATTGTATTATACTCGTACAACATAATTAAAAAATAGAGTTATTTTATGAAACAAATTAGTAATAAGACTTATCTTAAAGCGATTTCTTTAGGGAGGATCATGATGATGATAGTAATAATTTTTAAATTAAATTAATTTTTAACAGATTTCGAAGAAAAATCTTAAATTAACTATAGAGATTTCTCACAATATTAAATTTCGCAATACAAATCTCATTACAATTAGTGGTCTCATCAAAGTCGGAACAGGATGTCAAAAATAAATGAACATATTGCTTACAATGAATATTTATGTAGCCTATATATTGGTAATAGAAATATAGTCAACTATTTTACAAAATGATGATTTGTGAAAATATATACTT